CAAAAACAGACTTCTGGCTTCTCTTAAGAACTGCAAAATCTGGCCCAATTCCTCTATCTAGTCATCCTACAAATATTTATTAAGCATCTACTCTGCGCCAAGTTCTATTCTAGGCCCTAAAGATACAGCAGCGGGGGGATCCTGATGTCGTGGAGTTTGCATTGCAGTGGGGAAGGCGACCGGTGAGTAAATCCGTGCCCGGGCGGTGGCGAAAGCCGTAAGGAAAAGGAAAGCACGGCGAGGGGCTGAAGAGTCACCAGGGCACTGCGGGACGCGGGGCGGTCGGGGTGGGTCTCCTGGCCCCTTCAAGGCAACATCCGGGTCAAGTCGGGGATGGCTTCCTCCTCAAACCAGGCACGGTCGCTAGTTAGCCACAGTCCCCGCTACTCTCTACTCAACCCGCTCCTGGCTGACTTGACTCATTTGAGTCATGGCCCCTGGAGTTAATCCTTCTCGAGAGCCCCCCAACTCTGGCTACCCAAGAGCCAGGGGGAGAAAGGAGATTTGGGGAGCCCAACAGGATGAACAAGTAAGAGGTGATGGAATTGGAAGCGATAAGGCAAGGGGGTACCTGATAAGAGAGGCCAACACCCCAAGCCCAGGTGACAGCGGGGCCAGCAGCTCCACAGTCACTGGCCTGGAAAGCGATGGAAAAACACAGACGTGGAGACAGAAGCATTTCAGCAAGCGCCCCTCTGAGGAAGAGTCAGCCACACTCTGAGACTTGGGTTTTGGACCCACACTTTGGGCCGCTCGGCCAAGATGGCACTCAGAGAGCTCCCCGCTGGCCTGGCACCGCTCACCACCTCCTCATAAGGTTAGTAAGCTCAAGGGCAAGGGTTCGTCTCCCTGGGGACTCAGAGGCTGGGCCACACATTTTGCATTTCTCTTAGAAGTAAGGGACAGTCAGGACACTGCTGAGTAAGTAAAACTAGCTGACAAGATCCCCTTGCCACAGAAAGAAACCTCCCCCTGGCAGAAGGAGCCTCACCTTCCTGTAATGCAGGGCTCTTAGTCTTTCCTGTGCATGGCCCCTTGGTAGTGCAGCGAAGTCTGGATCTGATCTCAGAATAATGTTTCTAAATGCATAAGGCAAAAAAAATAAGACTATAAAAATGACATTGGAACAGTTATCAAAATGTTTTTTAAAAACTATAATAAAGTTTGTGCTTCTTCATTAATGTTCTATATAAAAGATTGGAATGGAGCCTCATAAACGGCATAAGTACAAGGTAGTGATGAGTACAAGTGGTATTTTGAGATATTTGCAACGATCGTAATATGATAGGAAACTCGTCCATGATTTCTATTAGTGTGCTTCGTTGCCTGCATTCATGCTGAAAAGAAATAAATTATCGAGGGTTTGTGTAACTAAAGAGTAACAGTAGAACTCTTCCATGCTCTTGAAACAATGCTTGTAACCCACTGGCTCAAATTCACACTAAAGTGTAAATGGTTATCCCAGGCCCTTTCCTCAGAGGAGATGGGACAGTGGTGATAGTAGGATCTAATATAATGGCACTGAGCACTAGGATTCAAGATAGAAGGGAAATATATGCAACGGAAAAGGGGAACCACAAGTAGGAAAAGACCCTGTTAGCAAAAAACAAAAAAACAAATTTGCTCCATGTTACACAAGGCTGGGTGGCAGGGAACTGTTGTCTGCAGTTTTTCTGCTTCCTGGAGGTCTGACCTGGTGCTTGACAGAATCGAAGAGTGGGTTTGGCCCTTTAAGTTTGCTGAAGCGTCCCTTGATTACTCATTAAAAGAACCAGTCAGTCCTAGTGAACTGATTCACTTCGCCCCAGCCCCTGAAGGATGCTACACATCAAAACATTCTAGAAGAGTTCTCTAAAGACGCTGACACCAGTCCTGACTGCCGAGAGCTGGCCCTGCCCCAGGACACGCTGACTCACGCGGGAAAAGTAACGTGAGGGCTGCCTCAGAAGAGGCACCTGAATTTAGGTCGTCATTGTTAGTTGTCTTTAGAGACATGTGAGACAGGCCAGACGTTTCCTTTTCAAAACAAGACTACCATTCAGTAAATACAGTGAGGATGAGAAAATCATCAAGTCTACAGAGGTGAAGAGAAAAACCAGGTCAAGAAAGAAAAGAGGGTAGAATAGATAAGCACAAGGCACGCAAAACACACAGACATCAGACAGAGGGGAGACGAGGCGGGAAGGCCAGGTAAGGAGAGAGAAACCCCAACCCTCACCAAACCTTCAAAGGAAAGTTTATCTCACTGCTGATCCTGCTCAGCAAGGAAAATAAACCGCCCGGGGTCAAGTTTGGATAAACGGTGTAGCATTTGTTATTCAGAAAGCAATCTCCTTTCTTTATAAATTCTGGAAGCCTCCGTTCCTCGTTGCTAAAAGGAATTCTGCTGCTCCCTGTTCTTGAAGACAGCAAATGTCAAAACTCATCGTTGGGAGACCAAGGTCATCTATGGTTGTAGAGTAACATCCCTCATGTGGCTTTGGGATGCCTAAGGCTGTTTCCGGCCCTGTTGCATTTTCACGACCATAGGCATAACTGACACCTCATCTCCGTGTTCCCCGCAGGCGGATGAACCACACAGGCATGGCTTACCGTGCGGGGTGCACGAAGCCAGAAATGTGTACTTCGGGGGTAGGAGAGAGTCTTTGTCACTGGCCACAGAGGCTTTAAAAAGTTTTGGGATATGCATGAGCCAGTGTACAAGGGGGAGACGGTCTGTGCTGGAACAGTGAGGTCTCTGCAGCTGCCTGGGTGATGTGCCAGCCATGAGCACACGCTGGAAATGGGCACGCGCAGGTGTGTCCTACAGGGCGTCGCACACTTACGATTTACTCCTTCCCAGTGCCATGTGCCCTGAGACTCCCTCCCGCCCCACTGGGGGGCTGTGCACATGGCCCTTGCTAGGCCTGGGGAGTGTGGGCTCCCCCAAGAAGACAGGGCGCAAAGAGGCTGGCGTCGCAGGGGACACACGTCGGACCTGCTGACAAATACCCTCGCATGTCCGGCCGGATGTCAGGAGGAGGACATTCTCGGCAACGTGTTTTATAACGGCGAGAAAATAACGCCAGTGTCCGCCAGTAGGAAATAGGATAAATCAACTGTGGCACATCGCACAACGGGGTACAGGACGCTGAGGGGTTAAAAAAGAACGAAGCTCTTTATACAATGATGTGGAAAGATCTCCAAAATGTCTTACGGAATAAAATAATAGCAACTAATGGCAAAGTGCCGACCAGTGTTTACAGTACGCTGTCTTCAGTGCAAAAAAGGGATAAAAATGAGAATATGTGTTTAGACTGCCTTGAATTTGCAAAGAAACACTGAAAGGATTTTTTTTTTTTAAGTGGTTGCAGGGCAGTGAGCGATGGAGTCGATTTTCACTGTGAACTTTCAGTGAATTTAATTTTTGAACCGCGTGTATTCAGAATAATAATAAAATGATAGTAACACAAAGCTAGGGAGAAAAAAATACATCATTTTCATTCTATAGATCAACTGTTAAAAAACAATAATAATAATAATAATAATTTTTTTAAACCTAGAGCAGACCCCAGCGGGGCCCTGTTGGACTCTGAAAAGCCAACGGAAGTATTTAACAAACATTAATCCTTGTCACGCCCTGAATCAACATGTGCCACATGACACCGCCTTGCCCTGGAGTGAGGAGTCTCTCCTCGTAATCTCTCCGCAATCCACCACTGTTGGGGGGGGGCTCCCCAAATCTCCCAGCCTCCCAGCCACATAGGTCATCCTGACTCAGCCGCTGGTTTCTGCCCACTTTTCCACTTGTTCAGGCTCCACCAGGCCCACAGGCCCCGTACAGAGCGCCCCCTTCTTCCTGCTTATGGAAAACCACCCCCTCGGAGGCTGGGCTGCCTCTGGTGTGAGTTGGATTCTGAGGGTTAGTTGGGGTTCACTTCCCGCACTGCCAGCTCCGGCGCATTCACCACCAGCGCACCCTCCCCGCGGCGGCGCCCCGGCCTCCTTCTGGAGACCCTCTTTTCCCCTATTCGAAGGAAGATCCGAGTCAATCGATGAAAAGGCACTTATTAAACACCTTTCCCAAAGTTAAAACATCTCTGACGAAAAGCAGTTAAAAGGGTCTGTTGGTAATTGTACTTCCTTGAGACACACGCGAAATTCGGTCAAACATCTGGAGGAGGTCAAAGGCACCCCGCACTAACCCAGAACGGGCGCGGTCCCACGCTGCTCCTTCACAGCCCTGACGCGAAGGCGGAGGACACGCAGGCTGAGGTTTTCGGGGAAACGGGGCGCGAATCGTTCCTGCTGCATTATCGTCCTAGCCGCCCGCCACCAGCCCTGCTATATTCATTAAGGAACATCGGGGGTGTTTCAAATAAAATGCCCCGTGATTTTCAGAATCATAAAGGATTCCAACAGGGTTTCCCGGCTGGAACACGGAGGGGGAAAGAAAAAGCAGGGGACCTTCTGAAAGGGGACCGTTCTCGGGGCCGTACGGGTGCTGAGATTCTGTTTGTTTTGCTGATTTTCACCCAGTAGGATGTGTCTCCTCGTTGCTCTCATTTCTTTTGCAGCCGTCCCTGGGTGGTGCTGTGCAGGCCCAGCGACGTCGATTCAGGGCCATGCTGCCCCCTAATCTGTTCTCGAGGAGAATCCTGGTTCCTAGCACTTGAGGTTCGAACTTAGGAAACAAAATAAAATGAATGATTTCCCAAGTTGAACTGCACCTGAGTTGGTGGGAATGTGAAAGGTTGTGAAGGGCAGGTTCCTCATCTCAGAATTCTGGGCCGATGAAACAAAGCTTGGCTAGGAAGATAAGATTCTTGTTTTCTGACTAATTATAAAAGCATCTACTATGACAGTTCATAATTATAGAGACGGAGCCATTTTATAGGGTAAATTATGTCCACTTACAGGTAACTGCAGTCGGTCAAGTGTCATGGCTTAATCTGATGTTACTCATTACACACACACCCCGCCCTCTCCCCAAACAAACAGGACTCTCCCCGGTTACTCACCTAGGCCCCCTTGACAAATGTCTGTGCGCGTGGCTCCACCAACGATAAACTGAGGGCTGGGACACAGTTCCTTAAAGCAATTTGGGATAAAACACAAGTCATAAGATGCTCAGTGATGGTGGCAGCAGCGTAAAGATGACTTTAGAGTCATTGAATTCAGACCTGAAAGCATCCTGGATCTTCTGTGGCATACACTTCACTTTATTGCTGAAAACTCTCTTCTCCCAGGTCCCCAGCCTTACTTGCCCTTGACTTTCTCCTCACTTTTCTAAATACCCCTTCTCAATCTCCTTCGAAGACTCCTCTGCTCTGCTCACTCCTAAGAATTAGGGAACCCTGGGTCCTCAACCCTCTGCAGGGATGCCATTTCACATGGCAATAACCTGCCCTGAGCATTCTGTCTTGGTGAAGCCTGTGGCTTCAACTCCCAAGTACAGAGTATGCTGATGCTTCCCAAATCACCCCCGAGCTGCGTCATCGATGACCCACGTCACGCTGTTCGTGTGATATGAGCTCACAGACTCATATCTGATACGTCTACCAAGTTCTGCTGAAGTTCTGAGTTCGGTCTGGAAGACAGAGCGGTTTGCAAGGGCCGGGAGCGAGTTAGAGTGTTTTCACTGGAACAGCGCTCAGACGATTCTAAGTAGATGGAATGTTCGCTTCACTACATGGTAGTCTTAGCATAATTCAAAATTCACCTTCCTCCAAGAAAAAAACCACCGAGAAATGCCACGACCGATATATGATATGAATCTTTCAGGGGCCAAGGACGTCCTCAGCTTTGTAAGATGGCACCTCAGCATGACTCCCGGAGAACATGCCCAAAGTCGTCTCTCCATTACTAACTTTCTGCTGGACCTCAGATCAGAGATGCGAAGCAGGAGAGAGGTTTAAGAGGTTAAGAGGCTCCGCCTCCCCACACTTGGACACTATTTTTTTCTCCCTGAATAACAATCGTGCCTGTTTAGGAACAACGTTCGGTACTGCCCGGGTAAGGGCCTCGAAACACTCCATAAGCACGAATGACGCAGCCTCCGATGGACGGGAACGAGGGGAGCGAGGGTGTCAGGAAGGAAGCCAAGGCGGGAAGAAGTGACTTCAGCCTCACGTCTCGGTGATGGTGGCGACGTGGAAACACTGCTCCCCAGGACGCTGGGCCACGTCCGAGAGTCTAGATCTGGCTCTTCGGCAGCTCTGACTGTGCACATTTGGGAAACTCAGCGATGGCCACCATCTTCCTCACCGTCGCCATCGATATGGGCACATACTGGGCCTAGCGCCCCTGTCCCTCTAGGATCTGGTCCCACGTGACGTTTCCAGCCTCATCTCTCTGTTTCCCACAATGCTCTCTGTCCTCTACTTACCGCTTTCCTCTGAATTTCCTTGCTCTAAAAACACTTGCGCGACTCAGGGCCTTTGCTCAATCCTGTGCCTCTCTGGTCTCTGTCACGACTCTCTTCCGTCACCAGGCCCAGCTCAAATGTCTACAGTAATTAACCCGCCCCAATTCTGCAGTCAAATCTAACTGCTCCTTTTCCCTGAACTCCCACACGTTTGTTCATATTTCTATTTCACCCTCTGGACACTCTGTCTTGTATTAATAGCTAGAGACAGCTCATTTTATTGAGCATCTATCATACGTCAGGCCCTGCGCTAAACCATTCTCCCATTCAAACCTCCCCAAGAACACAAGGAGGTAAGTACTATTATTATTCTCATTTTAAAGATGAGGAAACTGGGTCCCACGGAGGTCAGTAAATTACTCATGGTCACGCAGCTAGTAAATGCCAACGAGGGAACTAAAATCCTGATCCACGTGACACCCAAACCCACGCTCTTAGCCACTCTGCTGCCTGTCAGTTATCCAATTGTCCCCTCCCCAGCTAAAGCTCCACTAAGGCCACACACGAGCATCTGCCCCAACCAGGACTCCGTAAATCAAGATAGGCTAGATATATATGTATATATATCATCTCCTTTCCCTCAAAGGCAGGTAAAAATGGACATCTTTGTAGGAACCAGGATCATAAGAGCCACATCTGGGCAGCTGGCTGAAAGGCCCCAAGACTAAGGAAATAAGGAATCACCCTCAAAGCAGCAAGTGACACAAAAAGCTAACAACCCAATTTAAAAATGGGCAAAGGACTCGAATAGGCATTTCTCCCAAGAAGATGTACAACTGGTCAAGAAGCACAAAAGATACTCAACATCACTGGTCATCAGGGAAATGCAGATGGAAACCACAATGAGATATCACCTCACACCCATTTAAGATGGCCACTATCCAAAAAAAAAAAAAAAAACAGAAAATAACAGATGTTGGCGAGGACGTGGAGAAACTGAAAGCATTGTGCCCTCTTGGTGGGAATGTGTAATGGTGCAGTGGCTATGGAAAACAATACGGTGGTGCCCCCCAAAAATCGAAGCGTAACTGTCATATGATCTAGCAATTCTACTTCTGGCTAAATTCCCAAAAGGATTGAAAGCAGGGTCTCAAGGAGATATTTGTGCACCCATATTCATAAAACCATGATCCACGATCCCCAAAACGTGGAAGCAACACAAGAGTCTATTGATGGGTAAATGGGTAAAAAAAAGAATATATATCGTACATGCGTGCAAGAGAATGTCATTCAACCGCAAAGAAGAAGGAAGTCCCAACACCTGCTGTGTGGATGAATCTGGAGGACATTGCGTTATGAAGTAAGCCAGACGCCAAAGAACGAATACTACACGATGTCACGTAAATGAGTTACCTAGAGTAAACTTCGTTATGTGTATTTTACCACAATTTAAGAAAGAAAGGAGGGAGATAGGAAGGGAGGGAGAGGGGGGAGGAGGGAAAAAAGCAGCAACTGAACTCATTACTGCTCCTCACTTCCGAACAGCACGACCTTCTCACAGACAGACCTCAAGAAGGCCCCTTAGAAGGAAATAAAGCATTTAGGAAAGGGCTGATTTTCTCAGGTTCCCAGGCACATCCCAGAGAGAGACAGAACCAGGGTCATTACCATCTCAGATATTTGATAACCTATTTTATCTTAGAAGAGAAAACCGTGTCCTCTAATGTACTGTGTGATGTGTGAGCTCGGCCTGGCTAAAAACAGCTGTGTGATCATTCTTCACTGATGAGCGAAAATGGAGACAGTAAATTTTGACACGCATTTATTTATTCATCTGAAAACTCCAAACAATGGCGGCACTTCAACATCAATCAGGTTCTACCACCTCATCCTCCGGACTTTACAGCATTTTGTTGACAGGCACAAATTAGCGCGCCTAGTCCTCAATGATCACATTAACCTGGGCAGTGAGGCCAGGTGAAGACATGGCTTAGAGGCGACGGCCATGTGGGTGGGTGAGGAGGTGAGGGCTCTGAGAATGATTTTCCCATCACGGTCCAGAAGATGCAAGGTGCCCTGGGCAAGGGCCACCGAGCATGTTCTCTTATGAGACTTTGTATGTGCCAGACACTAAACAGAGCCCTTCACATAATTACCCCAATACTCACAGCCGCTCTGTGCGGAGGAGGCTCCTGTCACTGAGGTTAAATCACTTAATCGGGGTCGCATAGCTGTAGGTCATGGGTCCAGGTTTTGGGAGGACGGTTCCCCGTTCTCTGCCCTTGAGCTTCGGGTGGTCCCAGTGACAACACCCAGGAGCCCCTGAGTTCCATCTGTATTCACAGAGCCACAGCCCCCGCCTCTCCACCCGCCAGCCCCATGGGACAATTCACGGCCTTCAGCAACCCCGTGCCTTTCAGCAATGACAGCACGATTTCCTCTAATCGACGACTGCACCCAGCATTGATCAATTCCATGTGTCCTGTGCCTGTTACGTGCTGGACACTAGACTCCAAGCTTTATCTCTAGTCCTCACACCAACCCTGAAAAGTAAGGTGCTGGAAGCACCATTTTACAGGCGAGGAAACTGAGTCTCACAAAGGCTACTGTCCAAGGCCACACAGGCAGAGCCAGGATTCAGGTCTTACTGGTCTAGTCCCAGAGCCCATGCATGTTCTCCCTTCTACACCTCGCCGCCTCTGAAAAAGATTTCTGAAATATGGGATTTAGGATCCAGAGCCATGACTTCTCCCTCCACGACTTCTGACAGGAAGCGAGGGCCCTCCATCCTGCACGACACTCAACAGCCAGCCCATCTCCTTACCGGCGGTCGCTTCCAGACAATGCCTTGAGTTTGCGGGGAGCATGGTCCGAGATCCTTGTAGCCCAAGGCTGATGGGCACGCTGAGAACTCTGGATCCTTAAAGAGGACGCCTGAGTCCAAGCACTGCTGCCTCAGGGTCTCGAAGTCCTGGCCTAGGTACTTCACGGCCTTCTGGTTGGAGCCCAGACCTTCGGCGGCTGCCCGCTGCTTGGAGACTCCAGCCGCCAGGGCCGCCATGGCTGTGGGCGGGCCCCGTGGGGTACACAGGAGGACAGCGCCGCTCTGTGCTCTGGGAGACCTGCCCCACTGGGAGGGGAGCTATAAGGCAGCACGGAGGGGAGGAGGGACAGGTAAACATCTCACCTGAGGGGCTGCTGCAGAGGGAAGTGAATCAGAGCCTGGAGCAAATATGTACCCAAAGTGCCCCGCCTTCCCTGGCTGCCTTTTGGCAGACACTTTGGAGGCCGGGAACCTTCCAGGGCCCCACCCAAGCCATTAATAGGACCTCAGCGGTCCCCACCTCATTGCAAGACCTGCTCACCTCCCATTGGGTCATTGGCTGGGATGGGAAGGCCTGTCAGGCTCAGTGAGGCAAGGATTTACCACGGAACCGGAGAGGTTCTGAGCAGGAGGAAGGCAAGCGTTGGAGGGGTCTCTTTTGCTTCCAGAAAAGTTAGGTTCCAGACTTGCTAGAAGGACAAAAACATCAGGAAGGATGATCCGCACGGTGGGTCGGAGTGAGCCTGCGGGACACTGCATGAAGATTTTGACCTCTGACTGCCCGGGTTTCTACCCTAGCTCCATCAGTAATTAGCTCTGTTCATTAATAACCGCTGGCAAGTTATTCAGCCTCCCGCCCCGTAATCTTCTCAGCTGTCAAATGGAAGATAATGGGGGGACCTACCTTGCAGGCCGTTTGGAAGACTCATGAGATCGTGCACGTCATTTGCTTAGATTAGTGAGTAAGAAGCCCTCAGGAGGCGTCAGCTGTCATTATTCCTGGGAACCAAAGCTTGAACGAGAAGGCCTGGGAATCAGGGTTTGGGGTTCTGTCTCAGAAGTGGATTCTGGGCTCTTGGACTTTGGATTGATCCCTTTTCTCGGGGTTCCATTCTCCTAGGCCTGGTCTACCCTTAAGAGGGGAATCATGCCGATGAGTTTTGAACCTTAGCGTGTGTGCGGCAGGCTGGAAAGTGTCCCCAGAGACATGAAATCCTAATCTCTGGAACCTATAAATGATGCCTTATTCGACAAATGGGTCTTTGCCGTTAAAGGTCTTGAAATGGGGAGAAGATCATGGCCCTAAATGCGACCCCAAGTATTCTCCTGAGAAGAGGCCGAGGGAGATCTGACGACAGACAAATAAGGAGATGGTGGAGTGTCCACAGAGGCAGAGCCCGGAGCGCAGCCGCCAGGAGTTGGAAGAAGTGGAACGAGCTCCCCTCAGAGCCTCTGTAGGGGATGTGGCCTTGACGATGCCTCGGGTTCAGCCCGGTAAAACCGATTTCTCATTTCTGGCCTCCAACACTGTGAGAATGTTCTTCTGTCGTTTTAAGCCGCCAGGTTTGGGGCAATTTGTTACAACGGCCACAGGAAATTCATACAGAACGGAAAGAAGCCCCTGGAGCGCTCGCTTTCCTGAGGCCCCCACCCTGCAGGTTTGAAACCATTATCCCGGAGATGCTGCCAGCGCTTGGGTCCATGGACCACACTTGGAGGAGCTCTGGACCAGCTGACGCTGAAGCCCACTTCTGACTGACCGCCTCTGTGGAAAGCATGGTGGGCAGGTCTGGGCAAGCAGAAGGAAGGGTCTCGTCCCCAGGCGTTCAGGATAAAACATGGTTTCTCCAGAAATTCAAGGCCACAGTGACCTTCAGAGACTCAGGCATGCCTCGGAAGGACTTGGCTAAGGCCTCGGAAGGACTTGGCTAAGGCCCTGGCCCTCTGGGGGCCCCACCTTCTCTTCCTCAGCACCCTCCCCCTTGATTCAACGTCTGCGCCTGCTACTCAGTTCATCCAGTGTTCACAGTCTCCTTCCCACCAGCCCCGAAGGTGACCCCGGTCTCACCCGGGTGGCCCCAGACCAGAAGCCCAACTCCATTCGATCCACACAGAATCCTCGTAAGCACCTAGACTCCAGGTCTTGCACCTGTTGGGCCCTCTGCCGGAAGTGCTCTTCTCTCCCCAAACCCCCGCTCATCCTTCGGACCCCAAGTGCCCCAGGGAAGGCTTCCCGCCCCCCCCCAACAAAGCCATCCCCTTCTTAGACGCTCTCAGAGCGACCTGCAATGCCATGCCCCGCCACCACCTAATTAACGCTCCTCCCGTCCACCAGGCTCTGGGCTGTACAAGGACAGTTGTCTGTGTCTGTTTTGCTCATCACTGGATTGCTAGAGCCTGGAAAGCTCCAGGTGCATCATAGAGACGGAATAAATATTTGTTGAATAAATAAACACCCCCAGGCATGAGATGCTCAACAGTTGGATATATGCATATCAGGTAAATGGGCTCGCCACCTCCGGGCAGGGTCATCAGTGAGGGGATGTCTTCTCTGCCTCCGTTTCTCCCCTAGGCCTCCCCGAAACATCCTCCTGAGACGAAAATGAACCAGCTCTCCCTCCATCCAAGCTCAGAATACGCGCAGCTGGCAATCCTCCTTCTCCACAAGGGAATCGCTGAGATTGGGTCTCCTTCCCACCCCACCTGCCTAAAGCACCTCACTCGTCACATCCAGACGCTGCACAAACAAACCCTTCCTCATCCAGGCAGATAGGTCTGAGCTGCTGCAAACAGAGCCCTCATTTACCGAGTCATGAAAAGCAGAGCGAGTGGCATCAGGAGCCGTCTCTGCTCCCCAGGCCTCCCCTGAGCAGAGGCGAACATCTCCCCGTCAGCCAGCCTCGTCCAGCTGGGCGCCCAAGAGGAAGCAGCCTGCGTCCGCTGGCCCTGCCAATCTGGACACATGTCACCCCAGCCTCACGAGAACCAATGCCAGCTCCCTTTGAGGAACCCCAGGATCCATGGCAGAGGCTGACGAGGCCAAACAAGAACATGCCTAGTGACAACTAACTACATCCCAAGAACTCTCTGACAAACAATGCAGGTGAATGCAGCTCCCTTCAGTGTGCCCACCGGCTGAGCTTCACCCACAGGCGCCTCCTCCTTGGCTGGAAGCACCAAGGCTGCACTGTCCCCTCAGCAAGGAAGGCCAGTCACCCCAAGGCCCAAGTGTGCTCTTCAGACAATTAAAGTTTGCCAAGCTTGTCGTCGTGCATAACTACAGCCTCGAAAGCGGTGAGTGAAAGCGGTCAGGAGCGTTCTCACGCCTGGGCCTTCTCATTTCAGAGTTCGAAGGCACGCGGGGGATGGCCCAATGTCAGGAGTGTTACGGAGTTCTCACGCACCGCCGGTGGGAAGGCGGAATGGTGTGCCGCTTGGGAGAACAGTCTGGCAGCTGCTCGAAATGCTAAACACAGTTACGGAGTCACTCCAAGTAACATTCCACTCTCTAAAAGAGAATTAAAACTACACGAACACTTACACTCCGAGGCTCATAAATGCATTAGTCGTAATAGCCAAAAAGTAGAAATAACCTAAATGTCCACCAATGAACAAAAGGATAAACAAAATGTGGCATGGCCCTACAGTGGAATATTATGCAGCCATAAAAAAGGAATGACGTTCTAACACATGCTAGAACATGGGCGAACCCTGAACACATGGAAAGAAGCCCGTCTCAAAAGCCCACATGCTGTATGGTTCCGGTTCTGTGAAATATCCGGAATAGGCAAATCCACAGAAACAGTTGATTATTGGTTGCCGGGGATCGGGGAGACAGGGGATCTGGGGCTGTCTACATACCAATAGGTAGGTTTCTTTTGGGATGATGGAAATCTCGGGAATCAGATAACAGTGATGGTTGCATGACATGGTCAATGTACTAAAAATCACAGAATTGTACGCTTTAAAATGGCGAGTTTTATAATATGTGAATTATATCTCAATAAAAATTTCTAAATAAAAGAAAAGGAAAATTTTTAAATAAAAGAAATCTCCTCTCATCCAAGCATTCATTCGTGATCTCAGAGGAGAAGATTAGTTCCACCTGCCCAGGACGGCAAGCGTCCCAGCATGCCAAAAGGTGCCAGCGCTATAGACCGAACCCTCTCTAACCAGCCCAGAGAAAACAGAAGGCCTGTGGGGCCCGTGTGGGCTCATCCCTCTCCAGGTCTGTGGGATCACTCATAGCGTTTTGGGGTCACACACCACATGGGCCCTCATCTGTTGGGGAAGAGGCCCAGTCAAACCCAGCTGGAAGGCCAGATGAGACTGCGCCCCCCAAGTGGCCAGCCCAGATCCTGCTGACCCGTATAACTAAAAAACGCGGCAAAAACTTCCATTTGTTTTACCACGTAATGTCTACAAAGCACTTACAAGTACACGGCTGCTTAGAGACTCACAGCAAGTGTGTAGGTAGACTGTACTGTCGGGCCAGCCCATGATCACTGAAATGGCAAAATCGAGCCGCTCAAGTCTTCTGCATTTGAGTGCCATTTTCTTTCCGTGACACAGGACCAGCACCACATGCCGGGGGGCAGCCCTGATCTGGGCAAGAGGCCATGAAGCATGAGGCCTAAAGGGAGGAAGCCCATGGACCCTGTCAGCCCTCCAACCAACAAGCCGTCTCCATGCCAACACTGTGCTGGGCAGGGGCGGACGCTGCGTGGATGGAGAAAGGACGAATAAACACCATCCCTACCCACAAGGAACTTCAGTGCCATGGGGAGGACAGAGCAACCCTCAAAGAAAGGACTGGTCGATTTTGAGGGGATGGATGACAAGGAAAGCTTCATGGAGGAGGTGGCATTCCAGCTGGGTAACAGACCTGAAGAATAAGGGATTCGAGGGATGATCGGGGTCTGGAAAGGGGCAGTGAGAAAGGGCCTTGGAGCAGCATGAGGAGCAGCCGGAAGAAATGCTAATGATGCAGAGTGGCTGGAGTGAAGGACCAGGCAGCGGACAAGACAAGCAGGGGCTCTGAGTGTCGAATTTTTCTCTATCGTTAAGAGGCAATTGCTGTAAACCAGGCAATTAACGGCAGCCTAAATGGGGTGTCGCCAGCGGGGCTGGGCCGGCGGGAAGCCGGAGCCCCTCCCCACATCTCGCTTGGACTTGGACTGCCCGAGGGCTGCCAGAGCCTGCGGGGCCACCAGTCACGGAAGCCAGAAGTGCCTCTC